TAGCATACATAAAAATTGCTATTGTATGGCTGGCACCTACCCTAGCTGTTGATGTCATAGCATTTATGAAAACGCTATATAATACGTATGATAGCAGATTTTTCGCTCTAAGAATGTACATTTTTTTTTTTGTGCAAATTGGGAAAACCCATTCCTCCTTCTTGTTTATCTCTACAGATTTTGTATCATGCTAGCCATATCAAACATTATGCATATCATTTCAACTATATATTCTATTTAGAGAAATTGCAGCCTTTAACGTATATAGAGGATGTATTTGCAAAACTGACGAAACACTATTCACTACACTGTGCAATTTCTATTAAACCGAAAAAGCCCCTACTATAACCTACAACTATAGGGATATCTAAGAAAGATTATGTCAGAAGAAACGTGGTAATTATAGCGGCCATTTTTGATTTTTTTAAATAATTTATTAGTTAAAACCAAGAATAACCGAATTACGGTTTTAATATTAGCTGAACCAGTTTTTTATCGATCTCTGAAAGGGATTAGGGTTCGCAGAAATCCAACACTGTAATTAACACCACACAGACGGTGTGGATTTGTTGACAGCGCAGCGGTAGAAGTATTTGGCCAGAGAGATCGGTATTCACAGTCGGTAAGTTTTAATCACACATCTATATGATTATAGCGATACAAACGCACATTCCCGAGTAATCCGTCATTTCCCACAGGATTTCATGGCAGATTTAGATTTACCATTGAGGATTTTCACCGCCGGTGATGAACCATCCGGTGAACGAGTCAACTTGTATCATAAAACCAAGACTATCGGTAATATTCTAGATGCTCTTACCGAGGACGAGCGAGCGTACCTGCGGAATTCACCTTTTGGCAAACTCATCGCAACTGCAGAAAAACCGGCGTTTTCCAGGAGCTTTGGTCATTACATAATAACTCGTCTGCTGCAAGTTAAGAAGAGACACGAAATTTGGATTTTGTTTGCCGGAAGACCGGTCAGAGTCTCGCTAAGAGAGTTCGCGATAGTCACCGGACTGCCGTGCGGTAAATACCCACCGAGACCGAAGAAGAAGAAACGAAACCCAGTGAAGGAGAAACCGTACTTGCCGGACTTGTTTAGTAACCTCAAAGTTTCTAGTGTTGAGATGGCGACGAAGATACTGAAAAAAAGGACGGTTGCAGACACGACGACCCGCTAAAATATGTTTGTCTTGCCATTACCGGTGCAGTTCTATGCCCCACCAACTACAGGTCCAAGATTATGCACGACCATGTCGAACTGATCCGAGATCTGGACGAGTTCTTTGCGTATCCATGGGGGCGGCTTGGGTTTGAAATGCTGATGTCTAGCAATAAGGCTAAAGACGAGGTTGCGCTAGCCCAGAGTACTGCAACTAATACTCGTCGAAGCGGTGCCTGCATTGATGGAGGTAATACAAGTAAACGAGTCGTCGTCTTCATCGGAATCCGAGGATGGCGACGACGATGACGGCAAAACAGACGAGGTCACCGATGCGGCTAGGGTGGAAGATAACACAACAGACAAGGAACACCAAAACGACACCGATAAAGCTCTCCCAAAACCAGCAAATCGGTCGGATGCGCCCAAACTCGGACTCAGTCCGGGACACGCTCGTGAGGTAGACGAGGAGGGCAAGGTAAATGTTATATAAGTTAGCCAGGGAAACAAAATAGTAGCATATAAATGGAATGTTAGAGAATAACCATATCGTTAACGGATAACCGACTAATATGTAAGTTTCAATATATGATATACAGTTAATCTTTTTGTTAACCATTAAAGAACACATGTACAGGTTGACGTGTTTTGTATCATACCGGAAGCCCCCGATGCCGTAAGTTTCCATGAGGAATTATGCTGGTCCGATGAAGAGGAGGACTTCAAGGTTGACAACATGGTTAGACTGATTGGAGAGGGGTTCCAATTCTCAAAAGATATGTTCAAAGGAGGCATGACGCAAGCCGAGCTTTTGAAGTTGAAGAATGAGAAGAAGGAGATACGGGAAAAGAAAGAGAAAGAGAAGTTGATGGAGTCTATATCGGGAATGGCTTCAGAAAAAGGTAACCAAGGGCAGCCGGGTGTTGGGGATACGATGGGTGAGCAGATGAGGATTCAGCTTGCTGCAATCGAATCTTCTTTGAAATCTGCCATCGGCAAGATGGATGGGATTGAGAAAGCTGTCTCTAGGTATGAAGAGAATTTGAAGAATACCCTTGATCAGAAACTGAAAGATATGCAAGAAGAACTCTTGTCAAACATCCTTGGATTTCTGGATAAGTCTCTGTCAGGTGGAGGTAAAACGGATTCTGCAAAAGCCGTCAGCATGACCCGATCGTGAACCCTGCTCCGCAGGCGCGTTCGGATAGTCGTAGACTAACTACCAAAGACGCTAAAGTAGATGCTGACGCAGCAATTGAGGCCGCAGTGGATATGGTTAAAGAAATCGGAGGCGAGGTGAGCGTGTGTGGGTGATTAAATTGACAGTATTTTGTATGTACTTTTCATTCATATATATTTGTTAGGTTACCCGGCCCAACACCAACGCAGGGCCATCCACGAGCATGCTGCGAATGGGAAATAGGGGTAATACGGATTTTCGGCTTCAGATAGCATCATCGGAGGTGGGCGAGAGCAATGTTGCTTCTACGTTTGAATCAGTAAGCATTCGTTATGATTGATGTGTAATATATTCCGGTACCACAGTTATATTTATCGTTAACGACCAACAATATTGATACATAGATAACATATTAGTTATCGATGATACTTTATCTTTTCACTGCATATTTGATTACTGCAGGACCCCTAGGCTGATCGCGAACTTGGCCAGAGTGTCGTAGATACGGGGGCAAAAATAAAGGATGGTGACGGTCTAGACGATTTCGTAGAGGATGCGGCGAATGGCAATGTCTTGCTACGGAGGGGCAAAAGACCCCGTCTTCAAAATTCTTCTTTCACTGACTATGAGGTTGACAAGAGGCTGCTAACATGCACAATGGGGACGAACCCGTTTTTATGTTCGCCGGAGCAGCAGAGGGAATTCTTCGAGAAGTTTGTTAGGCTACATGCATTGCTGAAGACCAATCAGTACGCCACATTTCATCTAACTATTACTATTAATCTTTTGGAATGCTGACAGGACATTTTTGGGTGTCAGTGTTATTAGCCTCGGCGATGGCACTTCTGTAAGCAGCAAAGATGTTTTAGACATCGCTGAGAGGACTAAGCCAATGCCGTCAAAGGTAACTGTTTTCCACTGGTTTGTCTGTAATGATTACCTCTAGAATTATTGACCAACTTTAGCGTTTACAAACCAATGTAGTCGCTAACAAGTTACACTTGCTGTTACATCATCCAACCTCAAATTTAGAATGTTTTCATTTCTGTTAACGGCTGCAACGTTCGTTCGCAGATGATGGACGCGGTATTGTTGTATGCGAGGGCGGTGCATGGTAGGCAGTTCTCAGACCCAGCGCAAAACCGGACAGAGTTCATGGAGACAAAATTTGTGGCACAACTGATGAAATGTTGGGGCAAGTTTTCGAGATTAGCGACTAAAGATGGGCCGAGATTTGTTTTTGGCGATGGGGTAATGGATTATCTAGAGCCTCGGAGCCACGAAAATGCTATTCCGGAGCGACTCTACATGCCATTCAACTTGGACAAAGAACATTGGGTGGCCATTTTTGTTGACGTCCCCGGTGCGGCGATGCATATTCTTGACTGCAACAAAGCATTTCGGACTGATGCGGCTCTGAAAAAGGATTGCATGCCCCTTGCAAAAATGATGCCTTATGTGCTGAAGCAGATCCCGGGACATAAGCGAACAAATGATTTCAAACCTTTCGCGTTTAACAGGACAAAATGGCTACCACAGAACTTCATCTATACCGATTCGGGGGTGACGAGTGCGTTGCTAATGATGGTACATTCCGTTGGAGGGACAGAGAGATGCAGGACCCTTACGCCTGAGGAACTAACCAAGGATAGCCAAATCCTGGCGGTCAAGTTTTACGAGGAGTTTGCTGAAGGTGTGTAACGGAAGTCGGGGGTAGATGTATTAATACTTTTATGTTTTCGCTGCGTAGAACTAATTTATTTGAACGGGGGTATAACTATCATGTTACCAGAACCTGGTACGTTAGTACGTCAACTTAGTTTCTTTGGATTTATATTTGGGTCTTATATACCTTGCGACATTGATAACTAGAGTAGAGTGTTTAACGTATTAACGAAACTTTACCTAAGTAGTTTTAAGTTTCATTCCGAAGCTATTTCACAAACAGGTAACAAACACATTAATTTACTTATAACTAAGTTACATTTTACCAGAGTAACTCTGTAATTATCTGTAACAATATAGTGCCGCAAACTTTAAATTGTAAAAAGACCAGCACTTCACTGTTCCAAGCTAACTAGGCATATTGTAACAAAGTAATCCAAAGATTTACTACATAACATTTTAGTTAGCAGGTAACATAGTCTTTAACAATTCATCTCAAAGTTATCTCGCTAATCCTGAAAGTAACAAGTGACATCACACTTCATTTAAAATGACAAATACTAAAGACTACTGCGTTAACAGTTCATGGAACGTTAGGACTATGACTTCAGTTTACCAAGCCGATGATGTAAATGGGAGCAATGTAAATCTAAGTTTACTGTGTAGCGTTATAGTTAATAGGTAATACAGACATTAACAGTTATGATCCAAGTTATCCCGGTAATTCTACAATTAACAGGTGACAACACACTTAATACAAAGTGACCAATGCATTAACTTAGCAGATAGGAGAAACGACTGCATCTCCCAAGTTATATTACATGAAGGAACATATGGGTTCTAAGACAGTTTCCACGAGGAAACATCTGAAATAGTTCATATTACACAGATTTAAAAGCAAATTACAAATTACATCCGACCCAAAATACGGAGAAGCAAACAAAAACCAGCTACATGCTTTCTCCGGTTCTCCCATCCTTCATCTGAAAACTAGATAGGCATCTTACAAGTCGCGCGGTTATGGCCGAAGCCACCACAGCGCCCACAGACGGTGAAACGTTTTGGTTGTCCTAACTGATAAAATCCAACAAAATCTTTAGTCACAATAACAAAACTGATAGAATGATAAACTTAATTGTAAATAGTTAAAGTTTAGGTTACCCCTATCTCTCCACAGGAGCGGATTCTTGTCTTGCGTGGCCTTCCAGGGGGGGGTCTTGTTCGAGGGGGAAGGAGGTTGAGCCCGGAAAAGTCGTCACCGACAGTTTCAATTGGGGCAGTCGCAGTCACCGGATAAATGTTGCACTCGTATGCCTTAATCCAGAAAGCCTTGGTGTACTCCGCCACTACTAAAGAGTCGACCCTTGTATTTGAACGGATAGCGGCCACCACGGCATGGGAGCATGGATAACGAAGCATCTGGAATTCCTGACAACTGCAGGTTTGGGTTTCCAGATTAACCATGTAAGGAACTCCTTCTTTGTTCCTAATCTCATGCTCGCCAGCATTAATTTTGTGATACGCGAACCCAGTTGACATTTCGAAATTCTTTGCCAGCAACTCCTCCATCTTGGGGGTTAAAGTGGTACCACAGCTATTAGCATCTTCGCGGCGCGTCGCAAACCAACACATCAGTGTTGCCCGGATGCACTCGATTAATGGGACAATTGGGTGGTCACGCGCACCGAGGAGGACATTGTTGAGAGATTCAGCGACGTTACTCGTCATTATGTTGTAGCACACCCCTGGGAAATGGGATCTCGCCCAGTGTTCATACCCAATCGCAGTTAGGTAGCTGGCGCAACCCTCATCCGTTTCATGGATCTCCTCAAAGTGGTCGTAGAAATCCGATTGGAGGAAAGCGCGCGCGGCTTTGGATACCATGTAGTTGAGGGGACGTTTTTTGAAAATGGCCTGGATGTTCCTCTGCAGATGGACCACGCACGCGCAGTGCTGCGCCATGGGATACACCTACAGACATTAACAATGTTAGACATGCAGTTGGTATGATTTCAAAAGATGTAAATGTCTACAGAGATAACAATGTTTGTAGGCATAATTGTTTAGGTCGCGTTTTAACTAGAAAAGATATATATGACGTTGGACGGGTAACAACGTTGTTAATGCATAAAACAAATTGATATAGTACTAACGGTATGAATAAATATTATGGGGGCGCGATTGATTTAGGCATAATTGTTTAGGTCGCGTTTTAACTAGAAAATATATATCTGACGTTGGACGGGTAACAACGTTGTTAATGCATAAACCAAATTGATATAGTACTAACGGTATGAATAAATATTATGGGGGCACGATTGATTTACCTTCCGTATACCCGTGTATTATGACGGTCAGAGACAAACACCAAGTCATGTCTGTCTGGTATCACCTCAATCAGCTTACGGAAGAACCAGATCCAGGCGTTGTCGTTCTCGCCGTCGACAATCCCGAAAGCGATAGGGAAGAGCTGGTAGTTTCCATCTTGGCAGCTCGCGGTTAACAGACAACCGCCATATTTACCCTTCAAATGTGCGCCGTCTATCACAACAACATTCCGCATGTAAGGGTACCCATTCAAGCTTGCTCCCAAGGCGAAAAAAGGTACTTGAAGCGCTAGCCAACATCCACCTCGAAGTCGGTTTCAAGAGAGACAACACTCCCTGGATTCAAAATCACGAACCTTTGGAGGAACGTTGGGAGGATTCTGTAAGAGGAGCCAGCTGATCCGAGACTACCTTCGCGGGCCAGCTCTCTTGACCGCCACGCTTTCCAGTAAGAGATTGGGACGTCGTGATCATCTCTCATCATCTCCCTCAACTCTTTTGGCCTTGGACCAACAGCTCCGCCGGCGTATTTGGCTCGCATCATTCCGCCGATAACACTTGATGTAGCCTGTTTGTGGAAACCCCCACGCTCGTCGACGGCGCAGGTATGCTGAAGTGATGCACACCTAATTTGGAACCACTCAATGCCCTCCATCCTCACAGCGTAAATCCGCCATGGGCAACTCTGACCCACACATTGTAGGACCATCAAATTGGGGGTTGATCGACGGTGATAGTACTGAAACTTCTGAGATATAGCATAAAGAGACATGTGTAATTTGAACGAGTCCTGATCCTTGAACACCATGCCGACATACAGAACGCCGGGCTTGTTAACTCCATCGCCTGAACCGGACACACGGGAGGAAGATATATATTAGTCAACCAATGTTTCAGATAGTGAAATCGTTGTCGATATAACAAAATTGGTGTAGCTCTAAACTCAGGATTACCCTTCTAATAAATTCATTACAGACAGATATGAATGTCAGCCGTATCATAGTTTGTAATATACAAATTCCAGAAATCTAAGACATATATTGCACCAATACTTTCCGTATTACCGAACTAACAAGTTTATTACTCACATAGGTAATAACCGCATAAGGATTCTAAATCGTTGGCGATATAATACAATTGATGCATCTCTAAACTCGATATTACCCTTCTAATAAGTTTATTACACAATGATATAATCGTCAGCTTCATCGGAGGGGGGTAATATATAAAATGAACACAACTAAGTAATTTATTGCATGACTAACTTATTTGTTTTCGAACTAACAAGTTTATTACACAATGATATAATCATCAGTTTCATCGGAGCGAGTAATATATAAACTGAACACAACTAAGTCATTTATTGCACCACTAACGTATGTCTTATCAAACTAACAAGTTTATTACTCACATATATAATCGTCAGACTCCTCATCTGAGTCCTCCTCGTCCTCCTCTCGTTTTGCCTGAGATTTTTGACTTGGACCCCCACTGCAAGCCATAGTCAAACCAAGATAGGGACCACCATCTTCAATGCACCTTTTTCCCTTCCCCTTATCGCCACCGTAGGGTGAAGTTGGCTTCCCAGCTGGTTTTCTGTATATTTTGAATAAATTGTTAGAGATCGATTTACACAGGAACGCTACCGGAATTAGTTGAATGGATATGTTACCTGCACCAGCCGCGGTCCGGAGAGTCATGTTCGCTACACCTTCAGTTACTCCAGCTGGAGGTCTCTCACCCGCAAACCCGGTTGGGATCTGCAAACTTGGTTCAGGCAGCAGGAATCCAAGCTGTCCAGTTGAGTTGGTAGAGGATCCTTCCGCGTTGGCACGAGAGGAATCTAGCTCAGTTAGTGCGTTATGCACTTCTTGGAGGAAACGCCTCTCATCTTCATTGAAAACTTCATGAAGAATACTCTCAGCAATATGCACCCGTCGTCCTTCCAAGAGTCCTTCCCAAAAAGCGTAAACATCGTCAAGTCCACCACACGTATTTTCATTTAACTTTTCGATTTTAACGGTACGTAACATGGTAGTTCCCGTACCCGACATGTTGGCGCCCAACCCAACGTTTGGTTGAGTAAAACCTGGTGGTGGTCCGGTCATGACAGCGTGGTCCTGGTCAGAAATCGGTAGCGCTCCACATTGTCAGCCCCCACGGTGACATACAGTGCCAGTGAGTCCTACTCCAAACGCACCGCCATGAAGAGTTCGACGTCACCATCATTGAAAATGTTTACAGGGGGACTCTTTCGGCCTAGTGGCTCCGCCATCCACTCCGGGAGCTGGAATGCCATAGCCATTGTTTCGTAGGGGCTCAGTAGGTAGCGTGTCCTAGCCATCCGGTCCACCGTCTCAAACGTTTCCCGCTCGCTCATCATCAGTGAGTGTCCTCTCTCGCCGTCGTCCGCCTTGAAACTCCACTCTCCGTCAGCAGATTTGTTCCAAACGCCTCGGAAAAACCTCACGGCCAGACCCATCTTTCTGTCAATACACAGATCCAGTAAGTTGACGCTTTCAAAATTTTACAACACCGCTAACTTTATTGTTATCATGGAAATGCGATTGCAATCTTTAGTTTTTTAAAGTTCATATGAGCATTAATGGCGTACGAGGAAGTTAGTTATCGTTTGTGATAAATTAGTCTTTAAAGCTTTAGATTATACTATAGAGATACTATAACAAGCAACAAATCAGAAAAAACCAAATCGACATTTATGGATAGTATCAGAAGTAAGTGGTCCTACCTGTTTCGGTTGGGTGAGAAGTAAGCTTCTGGAAACCCTTTTGTTAGCTGTTCTTCGATTTCTGGAAAATATTTCTGCTTCACTACACCTCTAACTTCAACGAGAGATAACACTTCACAGCTGATACCTTTTATAGCGGAGCAACAAAGCCTGTGTTGTATACATACAGTGATACATCGCTTCTCGCACGGTTGTCTAGAAAATATTGAGCATATCCGGCATTAAATGCTCGTCTATGCGGGAAGAAGATGTGTGGCTCAGATCGACTGCACCAAAGATTTCAGAGATATTTCCTCTGCCTACTCTATCTGGTCTAGGCACCCTATGCCATCATTACGCTCCCTATTACGGGAGAGCTGATATTACGTGGAATGTTAATATAAAGACTTTTTGGTAATCTCCGATAACTACCAACACAGTAAACTCGAATTCGTGTGGGATCATAGTTAGATAACTAAATATTGCACCGGCGATGAATATTGAGCTCGTTTTCTCTTCTATTTATTTGTTATATATATATATATAAAATATGGATAAATTTCAAAAATTGAAATAGAAAATACAATAACATAAACTGAAAATAAATTTAAAAATATATACAAAATTACTGAAATTGAAAAATAAGAAAAATAAATCTAATACAACAATCACTAATAAATTAATAGAACGAATTTGCAAAATTTAAATATAAAGTATATTATTAGCTATTCATTATAAAATAAAAATAAAAAAAAAATTAAAAATATTTTCTTTTAGAATAAAGATTCAATTAATTGAATATACATAAAGACAGCTGAATTTGCAGATCTAATGTTGATGTGACATAACTGATAATTTACTATTTGTATGGTTATTACGAATGACCAATATATCATTCATTATATCTGCCATTTTTTGAGAATAGAAGACCCCACTTATGCAAGTTGCATCGAACATCCGATATATATATTATTCTCTCTCTTCTAATCTCTGTTCGAGTTGTGCAACAATTGATATTACTGAGAAATTATTTATTATCGACTACTACACATGTTAGCACTCTCTATGTAAAATTAAAAAAACTACATCGGATTCAAATAAGTTAGTGATTAACAATTATTATATCATATATGAACAAGTAGGTTAACGTCTAACATTATTATTTTCACGATAAAGAATATGTTAGATTGATAACAATAATAAGTTGTATGGATTGTTAAAGGTGTTATTGATTTGTTTAGCACGTTACATATAAGTTTACCTATAATTGTTTTGTTGTGCCTGGTAAAATACATGTTAGACTGATAACAATACTGAGTTATATAGATTGTTAGAAGGTGGCACATTTTGCTTAGAGCGATACAAATAAATATAACACATTATTTAAATATGTTAGCGGTTTAACAATGAATTGAAAGACTAATTCAGTTTCAGAGAAACAAAAAAACTTATTTCCTTAACCAGATTTTCAAAGAGAAATGCTTGTCTTCGGATGAGGGAAAGATGGGAGAAAGAGAGAGACAAAGGAAAGAAAGATATTAAAAAAAAAAATGAGATCTATTCATGTGTTAGTGTATCTAGGTATAGTTATGAGATGAACCATGCAATAGACTTTGCATTCTTGCATACAAGATAAGAGGCATCAAAGATAACAATATAGTTGTATCTCTAACAATTTTACTACTCAGTCAAATAAATCATTAACATGTTAATATAAAAGTATTATAAGTGATTCTAATTGTTACTTCTCTAACAATATTATTGATCAGTCAACTAAATCTGAACCGTGGTAATAAACCACCGCGGCTGCTACAGTAACTCGAGCTTTGCAGCTACGTCGTCTCTCAACCAACATCGACTATCACCTGGAGGAGAGATTCATCGGAATCTGCCTCTCTTGTCTCCGTGGATGTAGTTTCTCCATGTCGTCTTCTTCTTCGTCGTGGAAATCTTCGATCATTCTCAATGCAGCTCCCAAAGCTTTCTTCAAGCTTTTCGAGAAATTAATTTTAATCTGGAACTGTGTTAATAAATTGGGTTGAAGATTAATTGACTGTTTCTTTTAATAAATTAGATCGTTTTGGAAAACAATAAGAGATTGTATTTGATTGAGAAGAAAAAATTCTGAGAGAAACAGGCAAAAGAAACGAAAAGAAAGATGAAAAGAGATAAGGGAGAGAGAAAGAGAACAATGATTTAAAAGGAGAGAAAGAAAAGAGAAGGAGAAAAAGGGTATAATAGGACTATAAAAAAATAAACAGTAACCAAATTTTCTCTTTGTTAGTTTTGTAAATATGATGTTAATTTGCGTTAAAGGATGCAAATATTCTAGAATAAAAAAATAAAATAAAATACATTGGAGCAAAAATCATCTTTATTTTGCAAGAAACCCATTTTGGAGTTACAAATAAAGTAATACATTGGAGATTCTCTAAAAAAAATAAAATACTCTTCTTTCGTGTGTTTTCAAAGTCAAAGAGACAAACTTTCTCTTTCAATTAAACCTAAGTTTTGAAATTAAAGAACATAAGTATTTCAAAATTCTCATTATCAAAGAGCAAGAGATATAAACAAAGTAAAAAGAAAGAGTTGAAGGATGAAAAAAATCTTCTTGCTAAAAGATCATTTTGAACAAAAAAGACTTCATAACTTCAAATTTGAAGATTTATACACTTCAAAAAAAGAAGATTTATATACTGAGACACTTCAAAACTTCAAATTTTGAAGATTTGAATAATGACACTCCAAATTTGAAGTTTCATATTTTCTTTTACATTTTAGTCTTTATAATTATCTATCTTTATTAAGAATATTATTAGTTATGTTTTTCTATCATTTTAGTTGTTTAATTTTATGTTTCATAGTTATCTTGCATATATCTTTATTTTTTAATTTTCACATAAAAATTAAAAAAAAAACAGCTTAAGGTTAAAATAAAATATATTAACACCTAAAAATATTACATAGCATACTAAAAGTAAATTAAAAGAAGACATAAATATTACATAACATAATTAAGCAGATTTAATAGAACATAAAGTTCTACTAGAAAATAAAATTACAAGAACACATAACTATTATACAAATTATAATACTACAACAATATTATGTCAAAAAAAACAACAATATTAATATTCAGGCAAATTTGATCTCACCTCCAAGATCACCAAAATATGATAACATTATATAATGATAATTGGAACATGATACCAACGCACCGATTAGTGACGATTGAAACGACAATCAACGATTTATACACTTCAAATATAAAGTCTCTCTTGGACATTATTAAACTTAAATCCAGAAGGTTTACAATGGCTATAAACCGTGATTTTGGTCTGCGCAAAGAAGAAAGGAACAGCCAGAACTGAGAACTTCTTCAAAGTTTCAGGGCGCAGATATCTTTTCATGAGAAGCCTCTCCATGACTTCCTTATGACTTCATGACTTGAAGAGAATCCTCTCCAAATATGAGCTCTCGAGTAAGATGAAGATAAGAGTTGAATGGGGCAGCTCTTGGATATAGGAATCTCCAAAAATCCGAGATTCTACTTCCTGAAGAAATCTGGATGGGAGAAGTTCGTGAAGGAAAACTTTTTAGGAGACGAGAACTTGCTTAAGTTCACTCACCAAGGCATCATATGTTTCAATGTGAAGATCTTCAAGAAAGGTGGCTTGGAGATGGTCCGTCCTCAACAATCCATGGCCTCCTCGGCTTCTTCTAGTACGATTTTTACTTTTATGGTTCAGAGACAGTGAACGGGAATAAAGACATTGATGGTTTAATGGTTTAAGTTTTATGTAATAACTTAGCTGGGTTGTTTAAGTTTCCAACGGATAGCTTAATGTGGTTGGCCAATTTTAATATGTTGTGTTTGTTGTTTCCATGAGACTTTAACTTGCTTTCTCTCTACTCTAATTCTATTCAGGGACCACAATGTGTCGAATTTGTGAACCAGACTAATAGACTCGGAACAATAGAGTTTCTCAGGAAAATTTGAGTCTCAAACGACGAAGTTACAGTATTCACCACAAGTACAGATCATTCAAAGCTGTCATGATAACGATGAGTTAATGGAGTCTTGGATCTTCCTTCCTAGCTTTCAGCAGCTGAGAATCAATCTCTTAGGTGAAGATCATGGCCTAAGCTTCATTGCCTCACATTTGGCCATAGCTGATTTGCGCATAATGCTTCATCGCCAATTCAGTTACACAAAACTTTCAATATCATCTCTTGTAGGGCTCAAAAGGGTATCTCTGAAACTCAGAGCCAAAGGTGATAGATTCCTCGTCGAGTTTCTTTTTCAACCTCCTCCAAGTCCTCAACTTATCAGATTGTATTAATCCTCTATACAATGTCTCAAAAGTTAGCTTTTGTGGCAAGAAACCTTTCTCTATCATCTCAACAAAATACCCACAAGCCTCTTTCCATTTCTCCTTGCTACACAACCCATGAACTAAGGAAGTATACGAATCCAAATCTGGACCCGTTTCGCTTGCTTTCAGATCATCCCATATCTCTTTCACAGTCTCCATCTTCCCCAAATTGATAAACGTACCCAACAGAACATTATACGTCTGCGTATCCGGCTTGCACAATCCACTTTTCATCTTCCTATAAAGATTCATTGCCCCATTAGCATCTTTTCTTCCTTTGTATTCCTTGAAAAAACAATTGTATGTCGCAGACGAAGGGCTTATCCCATTTTCCACCATTGTTTCAAGCAACTCCTCTGCTTCCTCCAATCTCCCACAAGAACAGAGACATTTCACAACCGAAGTGTACGTTTCCATCGTCGGGCTAATCCCTTTCGCCTTCATCAGCTTCAACTTATCCAACGTCAACTCGGATTTATGAGCTCGACTATACATATGAAGCACAATAGAGAAACTCGTGACGTCAGGCTCTATCCCTCTCTGATGCATTTCATCGAACACCTTCTCTGCATTTCTCACGTTCCTCTCAAACCTCTCCTCCGGATGCAAACTCGCCGTCCGGCAAATCCCATTGAGCAAAACATTATACGTGACAACGTTTGGTTCGATCCCAGATTCAATCATCTCCGCCAAGAATCTCTCCGCCATGTCAATCCTCCCGAGCTTACACCAACCAGCAATCAAAATCGTGTAAGTCTTCTCATTACACCCAAACTCAACTTTCCGTTCATTGAAAACCCCAACAGCCATTTTCGTGTATCCGTATTTACAGAGCGTATCGAGAAGAAACCCGAATTCTTCTACACCGAGACGACTCTCGAGGAAACAAGGCGCATCATCAAAAGCTCGTACGGCTTGACGCGTGAGTCCGGCGGCGATTAAACGTTTGATGAGGATGAGAAACGTCTCCGGAGAAGGTTTAACGTTTTCCTGCTGCTCCATCTCCACGATTAGCTGCCTAACGACGTCGAACTGACGAACTTTTCCGAGGATGTCGATGATTAAGTTGAAAGAGGTGAGTGTTGTTGAAGTGGAAGGAGAGGGTAAGGATCGTAGATACTGGAAGAAAGCGAGGGCGATTTTGGAATTGTGACGGAGACGAAGGAGGGTTTGGTTGATGAGGTGAGGAGAGAGGGAGATTCCTTGGAGTTGCAGAGATGATTCCATAAAGTGGAAAGGGTTGTGATTGGTGACGAGGATTTGGGAGATCAGTTCGGCGTCATTTGAAGGTTCGAGTTTTGGGAGATTGAGAGTGAATCCGGCGTCGGAAATGGTGGAGAGACGGCGGAGGAGGAGGAGAGGAAAGGTGGGTGAGATTTTTTGCTTCAACATGTCTTTCTCACTCTTTTGATTTTTTGTTGGCAATTTGTTTTTAAGCTAATTTAAATGTGATTGTTTTTTCAAAATAAACATCATCACCTGTACACTTTTACCGTTGGACTTTGAAATAAACGACATAGCAACAACTCGCATCAGATTTAATGCGAGAATGAAAACGAGTAAGGTTTTTCTTCGAAAAGAATCGTCATTTTTATTTCTTTTGTTTACTTGTTTTCTAAACGTTTGTAATTTGTATGTAATCTTGAATTTTATATATAAATAAAGATAGATATTAAAAGAAAAAAGCAACTATAATGATATAGTTCGAGCAAATTTTTCTGGGTATCCATATGGATCTGAGTGTAATTGAAAAACAGATCGGGCAAATCCGAACAGAGACATGGATATCTTGAAATTTCATACTATCTGGTTCATGTCCAGTCTGAGTTAAAAATGTCCAAATCTCATGATCAGCTATTTCATGAACTAATCAGTTTTTTTCCTCTGTTTATAAAATATGGAACTTCATATGTGAACTGAAAACAAAAAAAAATACCATAAGAAATCATAAAAATCCCATACAGAGTTTTCATTGGAGAAACTCAAAAACAAAACACAAAATGAGACAAAAATAAAAAACTACCAAGCATTTCGTCTCCCATTCAGATCGAAATTGATGCAAAACTTGAAGACACATCCTCAAGAAGAGCATCATTCATGGCATCTCTCAATCTCCTATCATCTCTAGCATCAAAGAAACATTCACGTGCCCTCGACTCACTTATCAGTTTTGCCCAAACCGAACCACTTAGAGCCAAAGTCGTCTCGTTGCCAATCACCCATAAACAGTGCCTTGCTCGAGTCAGTGCCACGTTGGCTCTTTGACGGTTACTGAGAAATCCAATATTTCCTTTACCGTTACTTCTAACGGTAGAGATGATGATAACATCCTCTTCTCCTCCTTGAAACCCATCTACCGACTGAACATTTAAACTGAAACGCCAGCTTGATAAGGAGCCGTACTTATGTCCGATCATCTCTTGGATTGCCCTGACTTGTTCTTTGTAAGGTGAGATAACTCCAACGCTCATCTTCTTCTCTCTTTCACTTGCAACTGTTTCAAAACTTTCAGGAAATTAACCTTCAAGGAATCAAGAAACATACTACAAATCAAGAAAGATTTTTTATACCTTTATAAAGACTGGATATGATTTGAGAAATCACAGCAACTTCAACCATGTTCTTAGGACTATGTCCATCACCAAAGTCTTCTTTTCCACGGCACACATTGATAAACGAGAAAGATCCAAACATATTTCCTTGAAGAAAGCACTTTCGATAAAAGCTTTCTTGAACAACCGCAGCATCTTTGATTTTCCCACCATAAAACTCCTTATTGGGGAAACGACTAATGGAAGGATGCATTCTGTATTGAACATCTAGCAAGTGTTTGTTATGACCAATCAGAACCAATCTTTCAAACAAGCTTCTTCCGAATTTCGCCTTTTCACATTCATCGTTATGAACCATTGCAGGTAACTGAAACTCATATCCTATTAGAAGTGCATGGCGAAGTCCCTGAAGTCGCAATGCAGCAATCGATTCACATTCTTTAAGCTGAGCCGCCTCATCGATCACAAGAAGGTCGATTGATCCTATCCTTTCCGGTTTCATATCTGCAGCACCTGAGGCTGTGCAGAAGATTATGTCTGCATTTCGTGGACAAAATTTCCTAATGTCTTCGTATCGATCCAAGCCTGTTATCCCAAAACTTTCTGGAAGAAGACTTAGAGCCTCAAGAGCATCTACAGTGATGAATCTGATGAAGCAATTGAATTTGAAACTACCTTTCTTGAAATCATCTCTAGAGAAATTCTCCTCCAAGAAATATCTAACACGCTGAAGAGCTTGGCGGGCTGCGATCATATTCTTCACATCTTCAGATGAAACGAAAGGCTTAGGCAGATGAGTGAACAAATCTACTATATATATCTCCAGTGCTCCACTTAAGCCATTAAACGTTTTCTTCACAAACTCTCCAAATGTAGGAATCTTTACAACTTCTTTCTTGTTATTCTTTTCAACTTCTTCGTTCATCCTCTCAACTTCTTTCATCTTTTCAGCTTCTTCGTTATTCTTTTGATCTTCTTTCTTCTTTTTTTCTTTTTCTTTCTTGATCCTTTCTTCTTTTTCTTGTTCTTCTTTCTTGATCCTTTCTTCTTCTTCTAGTTCATGTACATGTTGCTCGTACTTAGCCTCTGTGTTCTCAAGAAAATCTTTGATTGAGAACAAACGCTGCTTCCAGCCAGAAGAGGTTGAAAACAATCCACTAAGTTTACTGATGCGATGATTAAAAAACACATCTTCGAGAACACTCTTCTTCCTAATCCCCATTCTCTCACGGTTTCCAGACAGAACTATACTCCCCATCCCGTAAGTGGTGTGTTCTAATGTAGAATAATCCTTAAATAAGGTCAAGAACCTCGATGCAACGTCAACAATAGCTTTGTTTCTAGGAGTACACACAACTGTTTCCTTAGATAAAGCCAATAGCCTCGATGCAACTTGTACAATAGCTGTGTTTGTTGGAGCACACACAACTGTTTTGCACTTTAGTTTGACAAGAGCAGAGAGAAGAGTGGCCACCGTCTTTGTTTTGCCTGTACCAGGAGGTCCCCATATCAGTTTCACACTCTTCTTGTGTTTACAGTTCCTTGTCTTAATGCAGCCCAAAATTGCAGCTTCTTGGGAAGAGTTCAATTTCGCTGAGCGGATAATATTCAAAATATGATCATATTCAGAACCATCAACATCATTCTCACAGTAAACACATTGTTCTGTATCCTGCAACATAAGCAAAACCCCAACTCACTCATCAATTAAAGCACAAAATAGAGAAAATGTATTCTGAACTGGTTCAAAGAAGACTCTTTCTTAACACATACCAGAGCATTTTCCTGAAGCACACTCTCGATTAGAGTGGAATTGGCATCTTCGTTGTGCAAAGCATTCCAAATTCGATTGTTTGTGGTTAGAGTCATGAGAAAAACACCAAAACGAAATGAACGTTTCTCATCAGGAGATATCGATCTAGACAAACAAACAGAGATTTTAAAATCACCAAACACAGAGAAAACGTAGGCTAGAAGTAAGGGATTCAAGTCATCGATTCGACTAGGCCTTTCCTCCGTCAGACTCATAGCAATAATATCTCCACACTTTGGCTCATACTTTGCACTTTTATCTCCACAATTCGGCTCGTACAATGCATTCACTAATGTTATATCATGGAACAACTTAATTGGTGACTTTCCACTAAATTCATTTGTCCTTTTCTCCATAGACTGTATTTGAAAGAAAGGAGCTTTCGATAAAGTTTTGAAGCTCGAGAACAACTCGGTTCGGGTTTCCTCGAGTAGATGAGGAACAAAACACTGAAAGTATTCATCAACAGAACTAAATCTGTCTGGTATTGTCTTTATCTGTATACAAAAATACACCACTGCTTAGGAATATAACGTATAAGTATATACCAAAGATAAAAAACTATTGAAGAAAGAGCAAAAAGAGATCATTAACCTTTTCCTTGTAGAGATCTGTGTTGAGAATATCTTTGATAGACCAAGAACATACTCTAGCGAACAGACTTGTTTTCTCGTTTTTCTCCATGAGCCTTCGTATTTCTCTAGTGTCCATCAAAGCAACGGCGAGAACCCGAATTACGTTAGAAATTACCAAAAGACTTATCTCACAAGGCAAACAACTCGTTTAGAAAATTGGTGATGAAGAATCAAATGGAGGCAAAGAATAACATCTGATGAATCTCTCACAATGAGATATTGAGTTTGGTCTACTTTAAATGAAGTGGAAGGCCAAAGGTCTAAACTTCAAAGTTCAAACAGACTTTGGAAATGATCTCAAGTTTCCACATTTTTCAAGAAAATCCTATTAAAGGAACTCTATTTTCTTTTCAATTTATTTAATTCAATTTAGTAATCAATGAACTGAAGATACACTTCGCATATGTAAAGTCTAGATATAGATCGAGGTTTTACAGTTAAACGCATGTGATTAATGACTATTAGTATTTTCTAGTTTCAACTGTAATGTCAGATTTTTCAAATCGCATGGGGAAGAAGAAAGGTCAGGGTTTTGAAAATAAAATATTATTGTAGTGGACAGCATTTTGAGGATTAAGCAATATCGGGCCATAATTGGGTCAACTTTTATCTTGTGTAATTAGTCGTTTGTGCATAACGATTAGATCAATATTTGTATCTGGTACATCCTTAATACACAAGAATCTTCTTTACAACTTTTAAAGATGATATCAGAGCTCAACATATGATTCTGTTTTGGCCGATGAAGACTATGCTCCAACTCTTGTTCCAGAACCAGTTTTGCCTACAACTGAGATCACGATTATGGAAGATGAGCCAGAGCTTCTTGGTCGTGGTCATCGGAAGAAGCAGAAGTCCGTGAAATTAGTTGATTTTTTTTGGTTAATTTACTACGAGAGCTGTTCTCTGCACTACCCCTTATTAATTCGTTGAATAATTATCTCCCAAGTTTTCGGTTCTCTGAAAATTATCAAGCTTAAATTATGGCTATGACTATAGCCATCGAACCTTGTTTTTTAGAAAGATCGAAGATGATGAATGAATAAACGTTAAGGGCATTGTTGCGGAGCTTGAATCATATAAACAGAAAAAAAATAAAACAAAATAAATAAAAATCAACTACAACACTGAATAGATCAAAATAGTTTTAAAGGTTTCGCAATCTTAGAGAGTTGATGCTAACCTGAAAAATTATTATTCACTCTTTAATTAAATGCTCTCTATCTTCAACGAATTGTAGATTGGATTCTGCCAAGGCATGCTCCAATATTTTCCCTCTCTTCTCATCTTGACTTCTTCTTCGGTTCGATTCAAGTGTTATGAGCAGAGCTGTTATGTCCGCTGGACTGACTCCGCCCACTCTGCTTGCCTGCCCGATCGTCTGCGGTCTCACCTGAAATTTATAATTGCTCACAGCATAAGACGAAAATCTTTAATAAACGCACATTCATTTTACTGAAAACTACTTTAAAACACACCTTTGAAAGTTTTTCACGCCCTTCATGGGATAGATTCGTCATCAAAAAGTAATCCAAATCCTCTGGAAGTTGTCTATGTTCTTGTTTGGCCATCTATTATTACGGATTTTTTATTTTTAAGTTCATGTCATAATATATAAGCAGGCAAGAAGCATTTAATTGAGTAATGAAGCAGACAAAACATACCTGCAGCAGTTGGTTTTGTTGGCGCACAATGAAACCTTCATATTTTATATCGATCTCTACACAGTCTTTCTCCATTCTAGATAATGTCTCGTTTCCAAAGCCGTGCTTCTCAAGAATGTCGTAGTGGATATGTGGTTTCTTTAGTAAGCTCTCAAGCGTCGCTGATTCTTTGACTGGCTGAGAAGACACCTTAGTAACTTCAGCAGCCAAATCACCTCCTGCAGCTGCAAATCAAATGCATCATCAACTTATGCGATGCAACAAGTCCAGTTTTCGTCAAGTCTCAAATACGTTTGTTTAAAGACAGAAACTGAACTCTATGTGTTTTAATATCAGTAAGAAAAACTCAGGAAGTTTATCAAATTTCTTGTCCGTAGATACTCATACCACAGATTTTTCCAAACAACTATCCCATGTTGAAAGAGATGAAATAACGTAACTTTGTTCTAAAAACAAAATTTCTTTTTGGGGAGGAATGAAATAGGGAGAAAACCTGAAATCTTGACAGTTTTCAGTCTCTTCTTCTCTTCTGAAATTCTTGCTTGCTTCTCTTGGTATAGCTTCCATCGTCTATCATCTATCAATCCAAGTTCACGCCCCAGAGGTGTCAGTCGACTATCCGCATTATCGAATCGAAGAAGAAGCCGATGTTCTGAACGGCTGTCATTGAGAAGAAAAAAACATATTTGACTACCCCGCATTATCAAACATACATAAGTAGTGATCAAGAGCTTAAGGTATTTGACAATAAAGCATGAATAGTTCATGTGAACCAAAAAAAAAAGAAATTCAAGCAAGTCATGGCCATAGAGCAGCATCAAGAAAAGATAAGACGTCATGTTTCATTCAGATTTTAAATGAAAATAATCTACAGCATAAGAGTGCCAGATAGGTTATCAGAAAATCTAACCAATCAAATTTCATAAACATATAACGATGCCAGACGAGAAGCTTATTTAGAAAAACTGATGATGAAAAGCACCACTGTTATTACCATCATCAGGTGGACTTTATATGGGTGCCACATACAAGGCGGAAGTACAAAAAGACTTATATCCTTTCTACAGATGTCTCGTTCTACGAAAGTTTTCATGGAATAATAATTCATGATTCATATCTCTAGCCAACCCATAATTCGAAAGAAGAATGAAGGATTGACCTCGAAAACATAAAAGAAAGGAGGAGAACTAGGATTCTGAAAAAGAAAAAGAAATGGAACTTGCCTTGTTAGCATGCGGTATGGCTCTCTGAGATCCTTTGTGACTAAATCGTCAATCAATGTACCTATATAACTGCTTTCCCTCTCAAGAACCACGTGTTTCTTACCATCCGAATGTCTGGCAGCATTGATTCCAGATATAATACCCTAGATTTGAACGAAATAAGAGAGATTGGTTCAATGATACGTATTCACAAAGTCTAAACAGCAGTTTTCATTGTTGTGACAGTATTTTATTTCCATATCATCTTAGTAAAACTATTATCATGAATCAAGGTCCATCATTAAGGAAAATAAAGTCTCCTACAGATCAGTCACCTGTGCGGCTGCCTCTTCATAACCAGTTGTACCGTTGATCTGGCCAGAGAAGAAAAGACCTTCAATTTTCTTTGTCATAAGGGACCTGGAACACTGATGAGCCGGCAAATAGTCATATTCAACAGCATAGGCAGGCCTTAGCATGGCACAATTTTCGAGTCCTGGTAAACTTCTTAGAAGTGGGAGCTGGAGATTCTCCGGCAGGCCGGTCGAAAATCCCTGTTGAATTTACCAATCGATATTCTAGCAAATCACTCATACGAATATATATACAATAGCTTGAAAGACTTGAATACCAATGCACAAATTAGCTACTACATACTTAGCAAACAAGCTAGGATATCTGCTCTATTCTTGAAAACAAACAAAGTATCAAATTAGCTACTGAATACATAGCAAACAAGCTATGATATCTACTGAAATCGTTAAAAAACATTCTGAGCAGTAACAAACTTCGGGCTTGCTCTAACAATACATAAAGAAATTTTCTGGACAAGCTAGATTCCATTTATCATCCTTACACTTTTTCCCTACCAGAGATGTTTAACAGTTAGTGAAATCAAAACTAAGACATGTATCAACCTGCACATAAATCTCAGGAACATCTCGGCCCTCTGGTTCGAGGAATATTTGATGCGACTCTTTGTCTTTAAACCTAACAATCTGAAACCAATTAAAATATAGAGGGGTGGTAAATTAAAATAAGAAGAAGAATTCATAAATTTCATCAAAAGTAGTTTAAGAGAAAGATGGTTCGAGATAATATTTGTACCGACCGTAGAAACAGTGAATGCAAGATTGCTTTAAGAAATTAGAAGAACACCACCGTAAACACAACACTAGAAGGGACCATCAAGACTTGCAAATGAAAATGATGAAAAACGTAGAGCAGTTTGCAGAAAATCAGCATATATATTTTGCTACTGTGACATCATCCAAAAGAGAAACAAAGGAATATGATAAGACTCAGAATGATTTAGAAAAGTTTACTGCTTTATTACTGTCAGAAACAACGTACAATTGCTCTACATAGCCTAAACTAAGGGTTTGTTCTACATAACCTAAACTCACCCACTCTTCTTCTTATTCTTTTTCGAGACCGTCTAGATTCTATCATATACACTAAATAGCCACAGTGATCTGTTCCCTCCCATATTTATACTCATGCTTCCTTCTGAGGCTCTAACTATTTTGTTAACTATTATGTCTCATATAAAGACATATCAGCATATGTTTGCATGTTGGAGCGGGAACCAGATTTATAATTACTTTTATCCAGTAAATCCGGAAATCCATGGTCCTGCTCACAATTAGCTTCCACAATGTGTCATAACATTGACAAGTATATCAATAAAAATCAGCTTAGTAAAATGTAAGGTAGATGAACCATGTCCAGTGTAACTTCCCCTGGGTCTAAGAAAGAGATAATACAAATAAAAAGAGTAAAGCATATGCATAAACAAGAATTTACCTTGTCTTCAATAGAGGGGCAGTACCTAGGACCCTTTGCTTCAACCCATCCACCATAAGTTGGGGTCTCATGCAAATTATCCCTGATCAATTGGTGTGTAAACTCGGTCGTGCGAGTTAGGTAGCAGCACATTTGCTCTCTCTCAATATGAAAATCCGGGTCGAAACTAAACCAGCTGACCTGGGAAAAGAAAATTAATGTTCAGCATCTTCAATTAAAAAAAGGTTCATGAATCCTTTTGGTGTGATACCAGAGAAACAAGTGAAATATTGTTCCACTGGTGAAAAATATTCATAATGCTCGAACTAATTTTGCCAAGAAAGTTCAAAAACTTGTTTGTGCGCTGTCTAACTGGCTACTCGCTGACTGGATCGCTT